AATAGAAATCCCATTTGACCCAGCAATCCCATTATTGGGTATATACCCAGAGGATTATAAAACATTCAACTATAAAGGCACATGCACAGGTATGTTTATTGCAGCCCCATGTATAATAACAAAGACCTGGAACCACCCCAAATGCCCATTGATGATAAACTGGACAAGAAAAATGTGGCACATATACACCATGGAATACTATGCAGCCATAAAAAACGATGAGTTCATGTCCTTTTAGGGACATGGATGAATCTGGAAACCATCATTCTCAGCAAACTGATACAAGAACAGAAAATCAAACACTGCATGTTCTCACTTATAGGCAGGTGTTGAACAGTGAGAACACATGTACATAGGGAGGGATCATCACACACTGGAGACCCCAGTGTTGGGGGGGTTAGGGAAGGGACAGTGGTAGGTAGGGAGGTTGGGGAGGGTTAACATGGGGAGAAATGCCAGATATAGGTGAAGGGGGGATGGAGGCAGCAAACCACATTGCCAAGTATGTACCTATGCAACAATCCTGCATGATCTGCACATGTACCCCAGAACCTAAAGTATAATTAAAAAAAAAAAAGAAAATTTCGGCCAGGCATGGTGACTCAGGCCTATAATCCCAGCACTTTGGGAGGCTGAGGCGGGTGGATCACGAGGTCAATAGATCGAGACCATCCTGGTCAACAAGGTGAAACTCTGTCTCTACTAAAAATACAAAAAGTAGCTGGGCATGGTGGTGCGCACCTGTAGTCCCAGCTACTCGGGAGGCTGAGGCAGGAGAATTGCTTGAACCCAGAAGGAGGAGGTTGCGGTGAGCCGAGATTGTGCCATTGCACTTCAGTCTGGGTAACAACAGCGAAACTCCCTCTCAAAAAAAAAAAAAAAAAAAAAGAAAATTTCTTTCCTTAGCCAGGCACAGTAGCTTGCACCTGTGATCCCAGCACTTTGGGAGGCCAATGCGGACAGATCATCAAGTCAGGAGATTGAGATCAGTCTGGCCAACATAGTGAAACCCCATCTCTACTAAAAATGCAAAAAAAAAAAAAAAAAAAAAAAATTAGCTGGGCGTGGTGGCACATGCCTGTGGTCCCAGCTGCTTGGGAGGCTGAGGCAGAAGAATCACTTGAACCTGGGAGGCAGAGGTTTCAGTGAGCCAAGATAGCACCACGGTACTCTAGCCTGGAGACAGAGCGAGACTGTCTCAAAAAAAAAAATTTTTATTTTCTGTTTTTATATTTTTAGAGACAAGCTCTGTTGCCTGGGCTGGAGTTCAGTGATTCATAGCTCACTGCAGCCTTGAACTCCTGGACTCAGGCAATCCTCCCTCCTCGGCTTCCCAAGTAGCTGGGATCATAGGCACATGCCACCAGCCCCCTCTTCACTAGCTAATTTAAAATTTTTTTTCATAGAGATAGGGCCTCCTTGTGTTGCTCAGGCTGGTCTAACTCCTGGCCTCAAGTGATCCTCCTGCCTCGGCCTCCCAAAGTGTTAGGATTATGGGCATGAGCCTCTGTGCTTGGCCTAAAAAAATAATTTTAAATAGAAAAAGATCCCAGCTTGAAAAAAAATGTTTTTATAAAAATAAATAAAAACAAATTTAAAAAGCAGAGTGAAGGACAAAACCACATGATCATCTCAATATACACCAAAAAAGCTTTTGATAAAAGTCAACATCCCTTCATGATAAAAGCTACCAATAAACTCAGAATAGAAGGAACATACCTCAATATAATAAAGGCCATATATGACAAACCACAGCTAACATCATACTGAAGGGGGACAAGCTGAAAGACTTTCCTCTAAGATCTGGAACAAGACAAGGATGCCCATTTTTACCATTCCTATACAATATAGTACTGGAAGTTCTAGTTAGAGCAATTAGACAAGAGAAAGAGATAGAAGGCATCCAAGCTGTAAAAGAGAATGTCAAATTTTCCCTCCTTACTGACAACAAGATCTTACATCTAGAAAACCCTAAATATTCCATGAAAAAACTCTTATAACTGGTAAACAAATTAAGTTTCAGGATATAAAATCAGCATACAAAAATCAATAACATTTCCATTCACCAACAATGAACTGTCTGAGAAAGAAATCAAGAAATCAATTCCAAAAATAGCCAAAACAAATAAACTAAAATAAAACATTTAGGAATAAATTTAACCAAGGAAGTAAAAGATATCTTCAAGGAAAACTACAAAACACTAATGAAAGAAATTGAAGGGGACACAAATAAATGGAAAGATACCTCATGCTCATGGGTCAGAAGAATTAATATCATTAAAATGATCATACTGCCCAAAGAAATCTACAGATTCAATACAAACACTATCAAAATAGCAATGTCATTTTGCACAGATTTCAAAAAACAATTCTAAAATTCATATGGAACCAAAAAAGAGCCCAAATAGCTAACACAGTCCTGTGCAAAAAGAACAAAACTGGAGATATCATACTACCTGACTTTAAAATAGATCACAAGAGTACATTAACCAAAACAGCATAGTATTTATATAAAAACAGACATAATCAATGGACTAGAATGGTAAGTCCAGAAATAAATCCATGTGCTTACAGCCAAATGATTTTCAATAAAGGCACCAAGAACGTGCACTGGAGAAAGGACACCCTCTTTGATAAATGGTGCTGGGAAAATTGGATGTCCATATGCAGAAGAATGAAACTGGATCCCTATCTCTTTCCATAGACAAAAATTAACACAAAGTGAATTAAAAACTTTAACATAAAATCCAAAACTATAATACTACTAGAAAAAAAAATAGGTAAAACACTTCAAGACACCGGTGTAGGCAAAGATCTCATGGCTAAAACCTCAAAAGCACAGACAACTATAATACAAATAGACAAATGGGACTATATTAAACTAAAAAGCTGCACAGCAAAGGAAACAATCAACAGAGTGAAAAGACAACCTATTGAATGGGAGAAAAGATTTGCAAACCATATATCTGATAAGTTGTTAATATCCAAAAAACAAAAATAAACAATAACAAAGAAACAAACAAAACAGGCCAGGCACAGTGGCTCATGTCTGTAAATGTCAGCAGTTTGGGAGGCCAAGGCAGGAGGATCACTTGAGCTCAGATGCTCAAGACTACTCTGGACAACATAGTGAGATCTCATCTCTACACAAAAATTAAAAATTAGCTGGGCATGGTGGTATGTGCCTGTGGTTCCAGCCACTTAGGAAGTTGTGGTGGAAGGATCCCTTCGGCTCAGGTGGTCAAGGTTGCAGTGAGCCATTATCTTGCCACTGCACTCCAGCCTGGGCAGCAGAGTCAGAAGAATAAGAAGGAGGAGGAGGAGGAGGAGGGAGAGAAGGAGGGGGAGGAGGTGAGGGAGAGGGAAAGAAGAAGAAGGTGGAGGAGAAGGAGAGGAAGGAGAAGAAGGAAAAGAAGGGGGGAGGAGGGGAAGGGGGAGGGGAGGAGGAGAAGAAAAAGGAGGAGGAGGGGAGGGGAGGTAGGGGAGGATGAGGGGGAGGAGAAAAAGAAGAAGAGGCAGAAATATATGAACAGTGTTCATTAATGAAAACTGTTCTTTCAACTTTTCTGTGGGCTTGATACTTTTTTTTGTTTTAATATATATTTTGAAGCACTGTGGTTTGTATTCTTTTTTCTTTTTGAAAATTTTTTTATTTTTTCCTAAAAAACCGGGATACATGTGCAGAATGTGCAGGTTTGTTACATAGGCATATGTGTGCCATGGTGGTTTGCTGCATCTACTGACCCATTCTCTAAGTTCCCTCCCCTCATCCCCCACCTCACAAGAGGCCTGAGTGTGTGTTTTTCCCCACTCAGTGTCCATGTGTTCTCACTGTCCAACTCCCACTTAGGAGTGAGAACATGCGGTGTTTGGTTTTCTGTTCCTGTGTTAGGTTGCTGAGGATGACGGCTTCCAGCTTCATCCATGTCCCTGCGAGGACATGATCTCATTCCGTTTTATGGCTGCATAATAGTCCATGATATTTTTCGAAAAAAAAATATTTGCTGTCAACAGAAGATTTTATATTAAAATCTGTATTTGCAGCTTTTACTGAAAAGATCCTAAGGCCTTGCCATATCAGGCTCATTTTCTCAAATAGCAACATTTAGCTGAATTGAATAGACAGAGAATATGCCTTCCAGTCAGATTGTATCTGGCCCACTTTGTTTACGTTATACTCCTCACTTTGTAGCCATTTGCATTTGTGACTCTTAGTTTAGAAATTTTTCAGTGAACCATGTTGGAAACATCCCTAAACACAAGACCTAAAGATGGTCTGTTATGTTATCTTCCAAGCACACAGTGGAAGGAAAACTGATACCTACTAAGTACTCTATTACTGCCACAGCTTCTATAATTATTACATTTCTTGTGCCCTAGGTTAATATCTAAAAATAGCTTTATGCTTTCTCAAACACGTTTCACCAGCTCCCTCTGCTGATCCAATCTGAAGGATAAAACAGCTTAAATTCCTTATAAGTCCTGAACTTTAAAAATCACATTTCTGGGGTTGGAGAACTCCAGACATGAAAGAACTTGATGAGGTAGTGGACATCTAAATTACTTTCTTCTTTGGACAGCTCCTATGGTAATTCAAGCAGGAGTCAGGTTGTAGAAGTTTGTTTCCAAAAGTAGAAGTCCTGTTTCACTGAGAAAAGCTGTGATTTGAGGTGATTTGGCGCCCTCTACAGACTACAATGGCAAGAGCGAGGCTATCATTTGCTTCCCATAAGTTTTAGGGCTTTGCCGGAACTGTGACGTTGGGGAGGGTGGGGGAAAGGGGCAGGATGGTTTAAGTTCTGCCAATCCAACAGCTGTATTCTAACTCAACATTTGGCCCTCCCTTAAGATCACGGAAGTATCACGCTTGCCTGCTATACAACTTTTTTTCCTTGTACTTTCTGCTGTCACCAGCATAACAGGAAAGACAAGCAAGCGGCTTTTGTTTTAAACTGAGGGCACTTTTATCAAAATCCTCATTCCGTTTATTTTTCTTTTAGAAAAAAGGATTTGAGTTTTAAGCCTTAAAAAAAAAAAAAAGACACACACTCTCCTTGCCTATTTGACTTTGAGAATAATTTAAGTCAGAGAATCTGCTCTATGCTAACCAAGGTAAGTGTCCTGGATTTTTTTTTTTTTAATGGGGAAATGATCCAGAAACTGCTTTCGCAGAAGATTAATGTTCTCCTTGGAATGTGTGTTCCTAAAGAATGAATGTGATTGTCTTCTTTTGGGGTATCTTGACTAGAGTTAAAGCAAGAGAATGAAGGAAAACGTCAGGAAGCAAAGGGAAGTTGTAGGAAACAAAGTTATGTTGTTGATAGAATCACCCAAAAGAAAGGTGTCAGTGAGATAAACAGAATCATGTGACTTTCAGTGACTCGAGGCTCACCTCTGCTTGAGATGGAAATGTCAGCCATTGGAAAACACCCGACAGATGGGGTGAAAGGAAATTCTGTAACAAAGTAAGAGCATGGTAGGGTGATGATAAGAAACATAAAATGATCAAATTCCAAATTTGAAGAAATCATAATTGATTACATAATTTGCAAATCACCCAAGTCTTTCCGTGTCTCATAAAAGATTCCTACATTTGCTGGTCAGTCAGGTATGGGCTGGGGTTTTCCCATTGTACAAAGGTCTAGTTCAGTAGATCAGGCTCCTTTCTGCCAAGGGACTAAATACAAACAACTTGTGGCCTGAACGGTGGCTCATGTCTGTAATCCCAGCACTTTAGGGAGCTAAGGGGGGCAGATCACTTGAGGTCAGGAGTTCCAGACCAGCCTGACCAACATGGTGAAACCCCATCTCTACTAAAAATACAAAAGTTAGCCAGGTGTAGTGGCGCATACCTGTAGTCTCAGCTACTCAGGAGGCTGAGGCAGGAGAATCACTTGAACCTGGGAGGCAGAGGTTGCAGTGAGAGGAGATCGTGCCACTGCACTCTAGCCTGGAAGACAGAGTGAGACCCCATCTCGAATAAATAAATAAATATAAGCAACCTTTGAGCAACCAAGTACCTTATAAAGTTCACTTTATAGTTTACAGAGTTTGCACACACATGTTCTCCCAATCCTTCAAGCCTGCAGTATTCTGGACTACCTTTGAATTCATATCTTTTTCCTTTTTTTGGTACCAATGACTTGGTTTTCAGATGTAAGAACAGTTCTTTCAAGCTAGAAGGAAACAAAGAGAAAGCCATTTGAACCCTCTGTTTTACAAATGTGGAAGCACTGGTTCAGAGAAATCAAGAATTTTGTCCAGGGTTACAGGCTGGCTAGAGGCAGAAGCAGAACTAGAACTCAGATTTCTCAATTTCCAGTTCATGCACTACCTTCCTTTACTGGCTTAAGGCTAAATTTAAAATGGTTGCTCCCATTCAGAAATGTACAGTCTGTAAATATGGATTAATTTTAAAAGGTACAAATTCCCAATTTGTTTCCACTGCCTGTAGAGTCTCTAAATCAGTCCTTAAAGTGTTTTTGCCCAGCAGCTTGGACCCACAGCCCACTCTGTGTCACTAACTGGGTCTCTGGGCAGTGATAAACAGGCCAGGAGAATGCAAACGCTCGTGCCTAGAGCATACTTAAGCTGAGGACTTAGCACAAGGTAACATTAGCCTCTCCATATACAACATCTTAAGAGCAGTCACTGTTGTTTTTTTTTTCTAAGACTTTACTACTATTTCTTAGTGTCAGGGTCTTCATCATCTGCAGGGCCCCACACTTGGTTCAGTAGCAGCCAAATACCTGCACTTAGAGGTACCCAGGGCATATTTGTTGAATGAATTAATTTGCTGCCAGTCTATTCATGTCAGTACATTTTTCACTTTGGCAATTCAGTTAGCAGCCATTTCTTATGTTATTATTGCAGAGATAGAGCACAGCAGAGATCTTCCAGCCCCAGTCCTCTACCTAGTGGCCTGGAAATTCAGTTCTTTTTGGTGGAGGCCATTTATTTCTGGCTAGAAGCTGCCCAAACCTCCTACTCCTCAATTCAAAGGAAACCACAGGTATGTCTGCCTACTCCTTTCCAAACTTGTTCATAAATTTTATCTGTGTGAACTGTCCTTTCTAAGGAGAAGAGAAGAAAGAAAGGAGACATATAGGGAGGTAGAGAATGAATACTGAGTAAATATTTGTGCAAGGCACTTTTTAATGTAAGTAATATCATATTTTCTAAAACCCAAGTAATCCTTCAACATTGATATTTTTCTTATTTTACAAATAATATATCTAAGGGTGTTTCAGCAGGTTGCTCAGGGTCATATGGCTAGTTGGTGGCTGAGAAAGTTCCAACCCAACTCTGCTGTCTCTAAAATCCATTTTCATTGCATCCCATATACCTCTCCCAACTAAATAGGGATTCCCAAATAAACAGTCTAAGAGGAAAAATGATACATTTTGTAATAGATAATGAAGCCAACTATGGCAATCTCAGCCTCACAAAGGGCAAAGTAGCAAATACATTTGGAAATTGACAGCCCTAGGAAATTGCAAGTTCATGAGTCTGTCTTTGTGAGAAGTCCAAGGGTTCCTGGAGGACTCAGGAGTCTTTCTTTACTCCCTGCAGTCAGTGAATTCACTCTGATTCTGTGCCTGGGGCTTCTGATCTCATTAAGAGGCAAGCTACAAAGCCTTAGAGAAAAACTTCTCCAAGCCCGTCCCAAAGGTGCAGCCGCAAACCTGAGCAAAGGCGAAGGAAGAGGCTTAGTGAGGAGAACCACAGGGTTCCTCGGGCTCCCAGACAAACAGCATGTTCACATCTTGGCCTCAGATCCTGAAATCCATACTCAGTACAAACTCTGTCTCTTATTAGCAGTGTAGCCTTAAGTTGTTTCCAATGATGATGTTAATTTCCTATTTATTGGTCCTAATAGCTCAAAAAATATATGCTCTCTTGGTTACCCAAGGCAAATATCACTGTGATAGTGACTTGAGACTGCAGAAATCATACAGGGATAGATCTCTCATCAAAAAAATACGGTATCTTTAAAGGCAAAGTGAAATGAGTTATATATATTTCATAAAACAACAGAATACTTTGAGGTCTCAACTACTGTTTGTGTATCATCTGAAATGGCCAAGGGGGTTGCAGGGGAAAACAGCACTTGCAGCTAAGTCTACATGACATGTTAAGGGCCTCAGTGTGACATAAACTTTATTTACTAGAATTAACTCAGCTTATCTGATTGAGACAAAAGCAATGTGAGATGTGCAGAAGCCTAAATAATAATATCCAGAAAAGCTGGTAAAAGTTGGTCCTCTATCCCCATGCATGTATATGTGTATACCTCCTCCAGTTCCTGCTGACAAACATGAGCATCCCCATTTCTGTCTGACATCATCTTGGGCTTCAGAATACCCCTTATGACGTTCCTTGAGGACTTTGTTTTCTATTATGATCAGTCTTGCCTCTGTGCAAGGTTAAGAGCCTCCCCTCAACCCATGTAATGTCCTTGTTGTATGGCAAGGCATGACCTTGACCAGCTATTCTTCAGGACTCTAAATGCTTTGAATAAAAATTCGAACAGGCGCAGTGGCTCACGCCTGTAATCCCAGCACTTTGGGAGGCCGAGGTGGGCGAATCATGAGGTCAAGAGATCGAGACCATCCTGGCCAACATGGTGAAACCCCGTCTCTACTAAAAATACAAAAATTAGTTGGGCGTGGTGGTGCGTGCCTGCAGTCCCAGCTACTTGGGAGGCTGAGGCAGGAGAATTGCTTGAACCCAGGAGGTGGAGGCTGCAGTGAGCCAAGATCGTGCCACTGCACTCCAGCCTGGCGCCTGGTGACGGAGCGAGTCTCTGTCTCAAAAAAAAAAAACAAAAACTAACATTTCTACTGACTGAAATTCCTGGGATTCAGAGGCACAAAGTGATAGCAAAGAGTCCCTTTAGTACTGAGAGAATCTAACATCCCAATGGGGTAAAAGTACTGTCTACACTCTCTAATAGTAATACTACAGATTGCGGATCTCTTATCCAAAATACTTGGTACCAGGCAGGGCATGGTGGTTCATGTCTGTAATCCCAGCACTTTGGGAGGCCGAAGCCAGTGGATCACCTGAGGTCAGGAGTTCGAGAACAACCTGCCCAATATGGTGAAACCCAATGTCTACTAAAAATACAAAAATGAGCCGGGTGTGGTGACAAGTACCTGTAATCCCAGCTACTTGGTGGGGGCGAGGGCACAAGAATCTCTTGAACCTAGGAGGCAGAGGTTGTCGAGGGCTGAGATTTGATATTGTGCCACTGAACTCCAGCCTGAGTGACAGAGCAAGACTCTGTCTCAAAAAAAAAAAAAAAAACTTGGGATGAGAAGTGCTTCAGTAAGCTGAACATGATGGCTCACTCCTATAATTCTAGCACACTGGGAGGCCAAGGCAGGAGGGTCACTTGAGCCCAAGAGTTCTAGACCAGCCTGGGCAACATGGTGAGACTGCATTTCTATAAAAATAATTTTAATTAAAATAAATAAAAAATAAATGTTTCAGATTTCAAGTATATTCAGATTTTGGAATATTTTCATTATACTTAACGGTTGAATATGTCAAATCTAAAATCTGAAATGCTATAGTGAGCATTTATTTTGAGTTTCATGTACGTACTCAAAAAGTTTTAGATTTTGGAGTATTTCAAATTTTAGATTTGAGGATTCAGGCTGCTCAACCCGTAATAGCTAAATTTAGTTGAGCACTTACTATGGAGCAGATACACTTCTAAACCATTCCAACTTTTATCAGTCATGTCATCTTCATAACAACACTTTAAAGTCATCGTTATTATTACTTTAAAACGGAAGATTTCCCTGACCCCTCAAAGAACTTGCTACAGGGGTGTAGCTTGTTTGCATGCTCAAACCCCTTATGAGAGAGGTGGCATGCAGACAGGCAGGTGCAGGAGCCAAGGCGAATGCTTTTGGGCTCCAGCCCCACAGTAGCATCTAGAGGTATGTTAAAATTAATGCTCTTGGCCGGACGTGGTGGCTCACGCCTGTAATCCCAACACTTTAGGAGGCTGAGGCAGGTGGATCATGAGGTCAGGAGTTTGAGATCAGTCGGACCAACATGGTGAAACCCCATCTCTACTAAAAATACAAACATTAGCTGGGCGTGGTGGCACATGGCCTGTAGTCCGAGCTACTCGGGAGGCAGAGGTTGCAGTAAGCCAAGATCACACCACTGCACTCCAATCTGGGCAACAGAGTGAGACTCTATCTCAAAAAGAAAAACAAAAAATTAATGCTCTTTTAGCAGTTGCTGTTTACAGACAGCTAAGTATTAACCAGCTCAGTGGAGATTCAGGTGACAGCCTTTTACACCCTGCCCTCTTGGTACCTAGGTTCTTGTCCAAAGTCTAGAAAGAATCAGGTCACATGGACTTGAAGGATGGTGAATGCAGGGATTTTATTAAGTGGTGGAGGCGGCTCTCAGCAGGATAGATGTGAAGCTGGAAAGGAGATGGAATGGGAAGATGATCTTCCCCTGGAGTTTGGCCATCCTGGGCCAATCTCCTCTCCAACCATCCCCAGCTAAACTCCTTTCAACATTAAACAGTCCTCTCCTTCTCTGCCATGCCACTCTGTTCTGCCAGTGGAGCTTGGGGTTTATATGGGAACAGGATAGGTACATGGCAGAGAAGAGTGGTCTTAGAAAAGGCAACATTTAGGTGCAAAACAGGAATATCTGTTCCCATTTAGGGCTGTGGGTTTCCAGGCTTGAGGGTGGGGCCTTTGTCAGGGAACTGCCCTCTTCTAACCAGTGTTTCCTTGCCTCCTGTCCATATCATTATTACTACCATTCACATTTTACAGATGAGGAAACTGAGGCATAGACAAGATAGCCCAAGATCACACAGTTAATAAGTGTTGAAGCCAAGACTAAATCAAAACAGTCTGATTTCAGAGCCTGCATTTTTAAGCAGCATGTGATTTTGCCCTGACTCAAAGATGAAAGAAGGGCATATATATCACTATAAAAGTTGAGCCCTGTGGCAAGGGCTCCCTTCCAACCTTGTTAAATAAAGAAGGTCTGCTTGATGTTCCTCTAACAGAGCCTACCATGGCCAAGAAAGTTGCAGTGATTGGAGCTGGTGTGAGTGGCCTCTCCTCCATCAAATGCTGTTTGGATGAGGACCTGGAGCCCACCTGCTTTGAGAGAAGTAATGACATCGGGGGACTATGGAAGTTTACTGTACGTGGTTCACATCCTCTCATCTCTATCAATCATGATCTGGCCATTTGCTTTGTCTCTGCTCAGACATGCTGGCTTTAGCCTGCCTTGGTGATCAAGTAAAGGAGTGACTCACTGCGGTAACACAAACGTGCATAATGCAGTGTTAAACACTAGGCAGGATGCGGTCTGATTGGTGAGGAATCTTGAGAATATGCAAACTCGGGTCAGGGACAGTTGGAAGAGAGTGGAAAAAAGTTAAGTCTGATAGATAAGCATAGTATTGGACATTTATGATGATTTCTAGACTGTGGACATTCTAAGACAGAGTAGCAGTATCACATCAGGCAAACTGAATAGCATTGGTCAATATAAAACGATTACTCAAGCCTGTAATCCCAGCACTTTGGGAGGCTGAGGTGGGTGGATCACGAGGTCAAGAGATCGAGACCACCCTGGTCAACATGATGAAACCCCGTTTCTACTAAATATACAAAAAATTAGCTGGGCATGGTGGTGCGTGCCTGTAGTCCCAGCTACTCGGGAGACTGAGGCAGGAGAATTGCTTGAACCCAGGAGGCGGAGGTTGCGGTGAGCCGAGATTGCGCCATTGCACTCCAGCCTGGGTAACGAGAGTGAAACTCAGTCTTAAAAAAAAAAAAAAAAAAAAAAACAACAGATTACACTCCAGGGAGAATGGAAGTTGACAACAGGGAGTAGAATCACAACACCCAGACGTTGCTCAGGTCTTTGGGAACAGAACTGGCAAGAGTGAGGCAGGACCCCAGACCTTGGAAGGCCTTGGGGAAGGGGGAGTTTTCGCTGTCACATTTTCAGAATAGAAAGAACTCAGGCACCAAACAATCCTTCTTAGAAGTGGGATATTTAGGCCAGGTGTGGTGGCTCACACCTGTAATCCCAGCACTTTGGGAGGCCAAGGCAGGTGGATCACAAGGTCAGGAGATCAAGACCATCCTGGCCAACATAGTGAAACCCTGTCGCTACTAAAATACAAAAAACTTAGCTGGGCATGGTGCCACATGCCTTTAGTCACAGCCACTCAGGAGGCTGAGTCAGGGGAATCACTTTAACCTGGGCGGCAGAGGATACTGTGAGCTGAGATTGTGCCACTGCACTACAGCCTGAGCGACAGAGCAAGATTCCATCTCAAAAAAAAAAAAAAAGAAGTGGAATATTTAGCCTCAGAAGCTGCACTCAGGTCCAGGCCACCTGTTAGGTGACTTCAGTGTCAGAAAGTGGAGATGAAATTGGTTAAATACCACTTGCCTCTGGTCAGGATTGGTGCTGGTTACTGGAAGTAGCAGAGTATTCAGTAGGGCCTGAGGGATCTGCTCCAGTGGTGAAGTATAAGAAGGTATCAGAAGGTTTATGCCTGTAATCCTAGCACTTTGGTGGCTGAGGTGGGAGGATCACTTGAGGCCTGGAGCAAAACCAGCATGGACAACATAGCAAGACCCCCTCTCTACAAAAAATAAAATTAAAAAAAAATAATAATAATAAGATGGAAGCTAGGCAGGCTCACATACTAAATGCTGTAGGCAAAAAGGAGAGTGACATTCATTCAACAGGAGGAATGAGAGAAGCCTTCATAGAAGACATGTTGTTTGCTCTTAATAGATCTCTGATGGGTGGTGAATAAAACAGAATAAGCAACTGCATATAAGCAGGAGTAATCATAACCCTAGGATTAAGTATACTAGGAGAAAAAACACTTTGTCTGGTATGTTGTTAACCTCATCAAGCCACCAAATGTTAATATGGAAGGAAAATATTAGATCTGGCTTCTGTAGCCTCTTCTATTTGACCCCACAGTTGGTTTTCTTCTTCTATTCTAAAGTAATACAGTTTAATTTTAGAAAACAATCTTGAGTTAAACAAATAGGGGAAAAAATGAAAAATATAAATTAAGTAGAGTAACAATACCGACAAGTTAATACTATTAAAATTTCAATGTAATTTCTCTCAGTCATATATATACAGTTGTCTCTTGGTGTCTGTGGGGGTTTCAGTATCTCTTTGGTTTTGCTGTGAATACCGAACTTCACAAATGCTCAAGTTCCTAATATAAAATGGTGTCATATTTGCATATAGTCTACACACATCCTCCTGGATATTTAAAATTTTCTCTAGATTACTTATAATGCCTAATACAATGTAAATGCTATGTAAATAGCTGTTACACTGTAATGTTTAGGGAATAATGATGAGGAAAGAAATATGTACATGTTTAGAACAGATGGAACCATCCTTTGTTTTTGCCAAATATTTTCCATCCTTAGTTGATTGAATTTGTGGATCTAGAACCTACAGAAACAGAGGGCCAGCTGGACTTTTTTTTTTTAATGTTATTATAATATTAATTTTCATTTACTCAACAAGTACTTATCATGTCCTTCTGCCAGGGCACAATGATGAGCAAGGTAGATTGGGACCCTGCCCTGTAGCCCAGTGGGAAACAGAAACAGTAAATAGGGAATTACAACACAGTGTCATCAGAAGTACAGGATGCGGCAAGGCCACATCAACTACCTTATGCAGCTCTGCTGAGTTGTGGATGACTTCTTAGAGAAGGTGACAGCTAAGAAAGAGGCTTAAGGGAGAAACAGAGATTAGCTTCAGCCACAGAAGTTCACTGGTGTCTTTAATATAGACCTATTTGTTTTGTTGTTTTGTTTTTTGAGTGATGGAGATTGAATCAAGACAAACTGAGGACTTCATGAGAAAACAGAGGATACAGTAAATGATTCTTTTATGAAAATTGAGATAAGATGGAGAGAGACAAGGCTGAAGGGGACATAGTTTGAGAGGATGATTTGCTTTGTTTTGTTTTGTTTTGAGACAGAGTTTCGCTCTTGTTACCCAGGCTGGAGTGCAATGGCGCGATCTCAGCTCACCGCAACCTCCGCCTCCTGGGTTCAGGCAATTCTCCTGCCTCAGCCTCCTGAGTAGCTGGGATTACAGGCATGCGCCACCATGCCCAGCTAATTTTTTGTATTTTCAGTAGAGACGGGGTTTCACCATGTTGACCAGGTTGGTCTCGATCTCTTGACCTCGTGATCCACCCGCCTCGGCCTCCCAAAGTGCTGGGATTACAGGCTTGAGCCACCACGCCCAGCCCTGTTTTGTTTTTAAAATTAGAGTATTTTGTGCTGATGAAAAGAAGCCAATAAAAAAAGGTAGCTTGGGAATATACGGAGACAATAATGAGAAAAATTATTAAGGTATTCCCTGAGGAAAGGCAAAAAGGAAGATGTCCAGAGCATAAGTGGAGGGAGTAGCTATGCCAATGGAGACAGGTCATGAGCCCTACATTCATGGAATTGCTGAAGGACAATGTTAGTCTTGGAGAGCTCTATTAAATTTGGTTAGCTTCTTTGTGGTTTGAAAAATATATTGAGCCGGGCGCGGTGGCTCACGCCTATAATCCCAGCACTTTGGGAAGCCAAGGCGGGTGGATCACAAGGTCAAGAGATCGAGACCATCCTGGTCAACAAGGTGAAACCCCGTCTCTACTAAAAATACAAAAAGTAGCTGGGCATGGTGGTGCACGCCTGTAGTCCCAGCTACTCGGGAGGCTGAGGCAGGAGAATTGCTTGAATCCAGGAAGCGGAGGTTGCGGTGAGCCGAGATCGTGCCATTGCACTTCAGTCTGGGTAACAACAGCAAAACTCCGTCTCAAAAAAAGAAAAATATATTGAATTTAATTATTCAATCCTACCAATGATTTCTGGTAATTATAGCATAGGGACCTAATGCTGGGTTTCCTGGAACTCTTTAAAATGACAAATGGTGGCTGGGTACAGTGGTTCATGCCTATAATTCAGGCACTTTGGGAGGCCAAGGTGGTTGGATCACTTGAGGCCAGGAGTTCAACACCAGCCTGGCCAACATGGTGAAATCCCATCTTTACTAAAAATACAAAAATTAGCCAGGCATGATGGCACACACCTGTAATTTCAACTATTTGGGAAGATGAGGCAGGAGAATCGATTGAACCTGGGGCGCAGAGGTTGCAGTGAGTCGGGATCCCACCACTGCACTCCAGCCTGGGTGACAGAGCGAGACCCTGTCTCAATCAATCAATCAATAGAAATAAATAAAATTACAAATGGAACATTAATTGCTATGACCCACCCCCACCTCAGTAAGGCTACTGTGAGCCACCATGATCTCTGTTCTCTTCTTCTTATCTCCATTATCCCAACGAGCTAACTATGCCTTCACCACAGGAGTCTTCCAAAGATGGGATGACCAGGGTTTACAAGTCATTAGTGACAAATGTCTGCAAGGAAATGTCATGTTACAGTGACTTCCCTTTCCGAGAAGATTATCCCAATTTCATGAACCATGAAAAATTTTGGGGCTATCTCCACGAATTTGCTGAGCACTTTGACCTTCTGAAATACATTCAGTTTAAGGTAAGAAACTTTGTGTTATGAAAGATGAGTAGATGGGGGCTGGCCTGTTCAGCAATTTAATGAAAATTGGATGCTTAAAGTAACATTTTTCTTGATTTTATCTTTAAATAAATAGAAAGATAATAAAGACTTCTCACTCCAGCTGCTGCTCAAGTTTTACTCAAATCATTAAAATACTGAATCTGGGATGGGCACAGTGGCTCACGCCTGTAATTGCAACACTTTGGGAGGCCTAGGGTGGCAGATCATGTGAGGTCAGGAGTTTGTGACCTGCCTGGCCAATATGGTGAAACTCCATCTCCTAAAAATACAAAATTTAGCTGAGTGTGGTAGTACACACCTGTGATCCCAGCTTCTCAGGGGGCTGAGGCATGACAATTGCTTAAACCTGGGAGGCAGAGGTTGCAGTGAGCCAAGATCCTGCCACTGCACTCTAGCCTGGGCCACAGAGTGAGATTCTATCTCAAAAATAAAATAAAATAACAAACATAACATAACATACTGAATTTGCTGACTCCTCCTCTAAATGCCAAACTCTCATTCAGGATGAAATTTTGAATTTTTTTAAAAGAGAAACAAAAGAATTTTGTTCATGAACTCATTGGGAAAAAACAACTAGAAATCTGAACCACAGAAATTATAATAGGACAAAACTAATTTTTCTAAATTTTCCAAGCATCAGGCATTGTAACTCATCTCTTTCTCACCAGGAATAAAAAGTGACTGTTTCTTCTTTCCATTGAAAGATTCAAATGCCTTGTGTCAAAGTCTACATTGCCACCTTTGTGAGATTGCATAAGTTACTTAACTTCTCTAAAAGATAATAAATCAATATTAATAGACTTCCTATCATGGGACTTGGCCTACTTAAAGTAGCAGACAGGGTTACCACACCAGTCACTGCATGAGGTCCAAAGATGGTGAGAAGTGAGTGTTTGTCTTTCGCTTTTAGACCACTGTGTGCAGCATAACAAAGCGTCCAGACTTCTTCACAACTGGTCAGTGGGATGTTGTCACAGAGACAGAGGGCAAGCAGAATAGAGCTGTCTTTGACGCTGTCATGGTTTGCACTGGACATTTCCTGAATCCTCATTTACCTTTGGAAGCCTTTCCTGGTGAGCCATTTCTACCTGAGACCATGCCTACTTTTCTGGGTTCTTCCAGAAGTAAACTTTTTAATTTGCAGTTGGAAATACCTCCCCATGATTATAGACAGCTGTATATTGACTCTCAAAAATAATATATGCAAAATTACTTTAAAAGGTGTATAAAGCACTATGTAGGTGTCAGGTCTTATTTACTTATTAATATAAATGTCATTATTATTGTTTAAGCTTTCTAATGTGTGTATAATTCAAATTCGGTGATCACATAAGGTTCAGAACAACAGATCTGTCATGAAAAAGAACAGGCTTTGATTTTGGGGACTGAATTACAGGTAATTTGAATCAGGACTGGCCTGTAATAGAAGAACTTACAGAAAGTGAGAGTATATGATTTTTTTAAAAAAAACAAACCAGAAATTAAACATGTAAAGCAATATATCCAACCTTAGCTAGCATTGGAGGTTATTGGACAAATAAAAATTTAAAAGGGAAAAAAAGCAATGTATTCACCCTTCAAAACAGTCAACACAATAATCATACAATTCTTTGGCCAGGCGCAATGGTTCATGCCTGTAATCTCAGTACTTTAGGAGGTCAAGGCAGGGAGATCACTTGGGGCTAGGAGCTGGAGACCAGCCTGGCCATCATGGTGAAACCCTGTCTCTACTAAAAAGACAAAAATTAGCTGGATGTGGTGGCTCACGCCTGTAATCCCAGGTACTCGGGAGGCTGAGGCACAAAAATTGCTTGAACCTGGGAGGTGGCGGTTGCACTGAGCCAAGATCATGCCACTGCACTTCAGCGTGGGCCACAGAGTGAGACTCTGTCTCGAAAATAAATGAACAAATAAATAAATAAATAATCACACAACTCTTAAACCAGGGCTATTTAGGAAAAGGAGTTTTAGAAAATTCCATTTGGAAATGCTTTTGACTATGACAGCATATTCTTTTTAATATACTCATGATTGTCAAATTGCCATCATCTGAGGTCAAAACTGATTATTTGAAAAGCCAAAAGCTATTCAAATTCAGTTGAGGGAAATAAAATTAATCAATTGACGGTTACTAAAATGTAAAAAAGCTACTCCTGTTACAAATTAGTGGCCCTAAAGGCAATTGAATAGGTGAGTTTTTTAAATTTCTTATAGGAATTTAAAGAACTTTTGAAGAAGGAAAACTATGAAGAATAAAACATGCAAATGTTGGCAAAATATATGAAATACATCTTATAAATGTAATCACAAATTGACAAAATACCCTATTCAAAAAAATGTATTTAGGAATCAAGTGAAAATTTAATACATAATTTTTCAAAGAAACAATATTATAAATGGTGGTTGGCTTCAGGCTTGCTGATGATCTGGGGGCTAAACACACAATTGTACAGTACTAAAGGAATATAAAAACACTTCATAACATTTTCTATGGAAACTGTGCTATAAATGTCAACTATTGATATGGATACTTTTGGAATTTATTGTCTTTTCAAGTTTGGGATTGTTTACCCTTTATTCCACACTAATTTCAGTTCCACATAGACCATATATATATATATATATATTTTTTTTTTTTTTTTTTTTTGAGACAGGGTCTTATTCTGTTGCCTGAGCTGGAGTGCAGTGGTGCCATCTTGGCTCAGTCCATCCTCAACCTCCAGGACTGAAGCATCTTCCTGCCTCAGTCTCCAGAATAGTTGGGACTACAGGTATATGCCACTACACCTGGCTCATTTTCATATTTTTTGTAGAGATGGCGTCTTGCCATCTTGCCAAGGCTGGTCTCAAACTCCTGGGCTCAAGGGATCTACCTGCTTTGTCCTCCCAAATACTGAGATTACAGGACTATAACTTTTTAAGATTCCTTTTCTGCTTTTAACTAACCACCACAGAATCTTTCACGAATAGCTTTAGGACCCCTGTTGAAATGAATGTTTTACTTGAGAACATGAACTATTTTCTGCATAAAAGTATCAGGAGTATTTCCACACTATTTTTAAAAATCCATAGAAATCACAAGCTTTGTCCATAATGTGTCACTACAACTGTTTGAAAGTTGACATTGTAACACAGGCAATGTGTTATTTTAAAAATCTGTATTATCTTTTTAAAAATCTGTATTATCAACTTAAAGGAAGAAGCTGAGGCACAAAATGTGATTTCAAAGAGTTTACTTGAGTCAAAATATAATTTTAAAGAGTTTCCTTGAGGATAGCTGCTTGGGAAACATTTCCAGTTGCCTTAAGAAGTGCTCTGTTCAGCCTTTGTTACCAGCAGGTTTTTAAAGGGAACAGGAACAGGAGTGCACAGATACAGTCTCAGTCTCCCAAGTAGCTGAGATTACAGGCACCTGCCACCAAGCCCAGCTAATTTTTTTTTTTTTTTTTTTGTATTTTTAGTAGAGACAGTGTTACACCATGTTGGCCAGGCTAGTCTCAAACTCCTGACCTCAGGCTATCCACCTGCCTTGGCTTCCCAAAGTACTGGGATTACAGGCATGAGGCACCATGCCAGTCCTAGACAACAAATTCTGAGGGTATGGGTCGGGTGCAATGGCTCACATCTATAATTCCAGCACTTTGGAAGGCTGAGGTGGGCAGATCACTTGAGGTCAAGAGTTTGAGACCAGCCTAGACAACATGGAGAAACACCGTTTCTACTAAAAATACAAAAATTAGCTGGACGTGGTGATACGCACCTGTAATTCCAGCTATTCAGGAGGCTGAGACAGGAAAATCACTTGCAGTCGAGATCATGCCATTGCACCCCAGCCTGAGTGACAGAGCAAGACCCTGTCTCAAAATAAAAGTTCTTTGAGGGTAGGAACTGCCTTTTGTCCTCACATTTCTTAGACCTAGCATAGCACCTCTGATGTTGAAAGTGTTGAAAGAACAGGCTATGCAAGGTACTACTATTAGCTAACTTTTTCCTTTAATATCCCTGCAGACTGATCTGTGGGGCTTGTCCTTCCTTTGCCTCTGAATGAAATCTCAAGCAGTTTTCTACTTATTCTCAGATAATGTAATGTCCTCTGATCACTTTAAGTCACACACACAAAAATCTTATTTTCATAACTAAAATGTGCTTTTCAAGCAATAGTCAAAATTTGCAGCTGCATATAATGTAAAAGCTTCTCCTCTCTACCATCTGACACCTGCTATGAGCTGACAGCAGTGGCAAGAAGAGATGGTGTGCTTGATTTCCTTCTTCCTTTGCCATCCTCTCCCCACAAACTCTAAACCCATCAGTATATATAATCCAACAGTGGGAAAAACACTTGCTGTCAGTGCAGCCACCATCCCCCAAAGACAGTCCCAGTCATGGCCTTAAAAGCACCAGTCTCTGTGCTCTGTACACGCCAGGCATCAAGGTCTCACTCAGAGTGGTCTCCTTGAAGCCCCTCACACCTGGCTCCATGTCAACAAAACAGAAAATGCCACAACATTTTAATGATACCTGTCAATTTCCAACTCCAAGCTACTTCAATCTCAACCATTTTAAACCCTCAAAGTGAATGTGAGTCTAAGTAAGGATCACACAACTGACCTCATACACACAGTTTCTGCAAATTCAGCATAGCTGGTTTAGCACCTCACTTGGAATGTGGGAACTATTGTTTAGTGTCCAGCTTTGGGGGCCTCCATAAGCAAAGAATCATATTGAAACATTTCGTTATACAATCTACTTCTTACCCAGGATGTTCAGCATAGTATATAAGATGTTTCTTATCATTTGTGAGTTTGATTTCCTGAAGCAATCAATGGCTTTAAAAAAGAACACTTATATGGAATATAAGACCGCCTATGTTTTTAACAAGGCAGGTTGTAGTTATTCAATAAATGTTACCAAATAAATGAATGAATCAATGACTGAGTAGGAGGAGAATGATATATTCTAGAAGAGAATTTAATCTTTGTCCACTGACACTTCAAAGGCACTTGAAGCCTTGGCATGAAACGCAGTCTAGTCCTCAAAGCTGCTGGGCTTCCCTTTTGGATTCTTTGTCAATGCATCATCTCATCTGTGGTTCTGACCATCACTGGCCTCATCATAATTGTTTCCTCTGTCACTTCCCACAGTTTTCATTGTTGCTGCTGCTGCTATAAACACCCTTGCTTCCATTATTCCTACCATTCTTAGTTTATATGAATCCATGGTTTATGTCTGTTCTCACACTGCTAATAAAGACACACTCAAAACTGGGCAATGTCCAAAGGAAAGAAGTGTAATTGACTCACAGTTCTACTTGGCTCTAGAGGCCTCACTATCCTGGCAGAAGCAAAGGAGGAGCAAAGTCACATCTTACACAGTGGACAGCAAGAGAGAGCATGTCCAGGGGAAGTCCCCTTCCTAAAACCATCATGTCTCATGAGACTTATTCACTATCAGGAGAGCAACATGGGAAAGACCTGCCCCCATGATTCATTTTCCTCCCACCTGGTCTCTCCCATGACACATGGGAATTATGGGAGCTACAATTCAAGATTTGGGTGGGGACACAGCCAAACCACATGAGTCTTTTATGTCTGCCAAGGAGATAATCACCAAAAATAAATCAAAAGAAGGAAAATTTGTAGTCTTCCTTACATATGTCAATATCATGATAGCTGTGCTTCTATGGACAGATTATTAGGAGCTTCATGAAAGATCAATCAGAAACAAGTATAAATAAAATAAGAATAAAACACAAGCATACCACATGACAACACAGCAAGCATATAATAAAGCATAAAGTATAAGTAACATGAACTTAAATCACAGGAATAATTATTTCCTTTGCAAAAGAACTTACCACAGAATTTCTACTGTAGAAAATTTTAACTGAGTCAAAATTTAATGTGTAAACATATTATATACACAAATCACTTTCTGATAGGATATATCTATTGGGCAAAATAACATGCATCAACAATCTACTCTTTTTGTTTGTTTAAGATCCTTATTCAGTATCCAAAAGAAGATGTCAAGTAGGTATTTAGATAGGAATGTAGTGGTCCTGGGAGAAACCACAGATGGATATAATATTTAATATAGATGGACTAGAAACAATCCACTTCTTGACCAGGATGTTCAGCATAGTATACAATAAAAATACACTTATTTTTTGTGAGTTTGATTTCCAGAAGCAACTGTTTTAAAAGGGCACACTCATGGAATACAAGATTTCCTATGTTTTTAACAAGGCGGGTTGTACTCAATCCACATCTGGGCTCACAGCATCCCAGGGGAGAGGGAGGTTATATACTTCTTCTACTTCCCACCACTGGCAGCATAAACAAAGGGCTGCCATAGTTGTGGAACTTCCCTTTTTCCACAGACCTATCCCTGCATAGTGGGAAATTATAGCTTTAGATGTTTCAGACTTTCTGATTATTCACTCCTCTCAGGAATTCATAAGTTTAAAGGTCAGATCCTGCATAGTCAAGAATACAAGATCCCAGAAGTCTTTCAGGGCAAGCGTGTCTTGGTGATCGGTCTTGGGAACACTGGAGGAGATGTTGCTGTGGAACTCAGTCGAACAGCAGCTCAGGTACTGAATTAATGCCCCTAATCCCATCAGTTATGGTGGCTGGAAAGAAGTATTCAAGACTATAAAGTACATTGGCCAATTGCTAAATTATGCAGACACAGAATAAGTGAAAGAAGCAAAATCCTGAAAATCTTTAAAGCCACTTACAATCCTTTCTGAATTATTTAAAAAGCCACACTACAGAACTAAATCATCTCCAAGAAGGGTCTAGGAAAATTGTGCGGATGCCAGATCTCTAAGCATTTTTCGGAAGTGTTCCTTCAGAAACAAGACCATATGGGCAAATTGCTTCACCCAGGTCAATTATCTTTTTTTTACACTCTCCCTTTGTCATTCTGGCAAAATCTCTATGTGAATAGAAAGAGATCATTTTCCTGAATGTTTCTAAATTCTCTACTAAAAGTCAGATTTGTACCTTGTTTTGAGATTAAAGCAACCCTTGCACAACAAGTATACATAATGATTTTAGAAAGTCTAACCCCAGATTCACAAATTAGAAATCTATTCCACTTTAGCATAAATTATAGGACAGGTGATTAGATCTGAAAAGAATAGATTTTTATTTGAAAATCAGTTAAAATTGATTTCCATACCTTCACTTTAAATTCTATTTTACTTACATGTAAAAAATTGCCAGAGTCATTCCATGTATCTACAAATATTATACTTCTATATTTATAATGCTATAAACATAGTAAAATATTTAAGAGATACACAGATCTAGTAAAGTGATTTTGAGAATAATGACAGCAATGGGAACAGAAAATCATATGTAGATCTGTGTACAAATTCACCAATCCTCTATTGCTATGAGACCAGATTGAAATAATACCATTTGAAACGCATTTAAGAAAAATACTAAAAAATGATGGACATATATTTATCCTTCTTGCCTTACTTTTTAGGTACTTCTCAGTACTAGAACTGGTACCTGGGTTTTGGGGCGCTCTTCAGCTTGGGGCTATCCTTATAATATGATGATTACAAGAAGATGCTATAGTTTTATTGCACAAGTTCTGCCTTCACGTTTTCTAAACTGGATTCAAGAGAGAAAGTTGAACAAGAGATTTAATCATGAGGATTATGGATTAAGTATTACAAAAGGGTACTTAAATTTTTTTATTAGTAGAAAAATTATTAAATCAATACTTCTCATATTTTATTCACAATTCAAAATGTTCAATAATTCTAACATTGCCTTTGTTTATTCTACTCTAAATCTATTTCCCTAATACAATGTCCATCAGGTAACCATAGCAGTTCTCAAAATAGTGTATTCTCTTTCTGGTAGCAAAAGTAGTGATTCATGAGGCTGGAAGAAAAAAAAATGAAAAATTTCATTTCCTGCTATTACAAAAATAACATATTTTTGTTGTCGTTGTTGGGGTTTTTTGTGTTGTTGTTGGTGGTGGTGTTTTTGAGACAGGGTTTTACTCCCACCACCCAGGCTAGAGTTCAATGGTGTGATTTCTATTCACTGCAACCTCTGCCTTCTGGGCTCAAGCAATTCTTCTGCCTTAGCCTCCCAAGCAGGTAGGACTACAGGCACAGGCCGCCTTGCCCTGCTAATTTTTGTATTTTTAGCAGAGACGGGGTTTCACCATGTTGGCCAGGCTGGTTTTGAACTCCTGGTCTCAAGTGATCAACCTGCCTGGCCTCCCAAAGTGCTGGGATTACAGGAGTGAGCCGCCCCACCCAGCTGGAATGATATACATCTGTATAGAGTTGCACATCAGCAAGTAAAAGAAAGCCTTTGAAAAGCATATAAAGTCATTACATGTGATTTTTATTATATATTTGACCCAAATATATTTCTTTGGTAAGATATTTTTTGTTTTGTTTCATTTTTTGTTTATCCTTGAGATGTCTTTTAACTTATGAGGAAAACTACTGGCAAAGGATGATTTGATATGGAAATTTTATGAAGACATTATGTTTGATGTGATTAGGTAGAATGATGTTCACAATGAAAATATTTATCAGTAAAAACAGATTCAGGACCCTTTTTCATTATTTTTATTTATTTATTTATTTATTTTGAGATGGAGTCTCACTCTGTTCGCCATGCTAGAGTGCAGTCGTGCAATCTTGACTCACTGCAACTTCTGCCCTCGCAGTTTCAAGTGATTCTCCTGCCTCAGCCTCCCAAGTAGCTGGGACTACAGGTGCGGGCCACCATGCCCAGCTAATTTTTTATATTAAATTTTTATTTAAAAGGTCCCTTGCTAATTTCCTCTTTGCCTGTCATTCCCTAGAGATCTAGGTAGTGTGGACCCAAAATTAATCATCAAATGGATTGTTGTATATTCTATGCTGACACTAGGAGAAAAGCATTACTCCAGAAACTAGTTCCAAGAGAGAGAGTTTTGAACCTCAAGCAAGAAAGAGTAGGTTTAGTCATTTTTTCCACATGCCTTCTACTGAGAGCAGAAAAACAAACCATGTTATAAACATGCTAAGTCAAGTGATGACTTTGAATTAGATATTGGTCAATTCACTTCCCTAGATTGGCAGGTAATTTCCCTTAATTGACTAAATAAATCTTTTGCTGAAGTTTCTCATAAAAATAACTATAGTGAATAATTTTCTCTCGTGTGTCAAAGGAAACAAGCAAAATTCATTGTGAATGATGAGCTGCCAAGCTGTATCCTCTGTGGGTCAATCACTATAAAAACCAGCGTGACAGAATTTACAGAAACCTCTGCTGTCTTTGAAGATGGGACAGTGGAAGAAAACATTGATGTGGTGATCTTCACTACAGGATATACATTTTCTTTTCCCTTTTTTGAAGAACCTCTTAAAAGCCTATGTACAAAGAAGATATTTCTATACAAGAACGTCTTTCCCTTAAACCTGGAGAGAACAACATTAGCCATCATAGGCCTTTTAAGCCTTAAAGGATCCATCTTATCAGGCACAGAGCTCCAAGCACGATGGGCCACAAGAGTATTCAAAGGTACCTTGACTCTACTGAAAGCCCTCTCTTTGAATCTTAAAATTGGTGCCCTGCCACTTAGCTAAAATCAAACAGATGTGAGCTAAAGGAACAAAATATTTTTTTAATGAATGTACAATTAATTGCATATGTTTGTAATATGATGGATGTGCTATGTCACTTAATGTGACTGAGTAGGAAAAGAGATTTTGGCTCTGTGGATGAGATAACTTTGGACAACAGAATATAATTAAATTTCTCAGATTACCTGAAATTATTGGAAGCTTCATGATCCTATTCTAGCCTAGTCTAATCTATTTACTCCTAAATCTTTTCATTTAGCACTGGAAGTATAATTTTATAGTGCTTCCAAAGAAAGATATTGGAATAATATACACTGTGAATAAAGTTGAGATTAGAGGGCCATAAAAAATATTTTAGACACTGGAAATTACTTTCTGTTAATTATGCAATAAAAGCATAGATGCTGGAATCAGAGCTACCAAGTTCCAATTCCAACTTTGAAATTCTTTAGCTTTGCAAGAACCCCTCTAAATTTCAGCCCCTTCATCTGTAAAATGGGGATAATAAATCCTCTATCACAAGAATTTTGTAAAAATGGATAATATCTACAAAGCAATTAACACAGTACTTGACATATAACAAATGCTTATTAAGTGACGGGGTTTCTCTGACCACTGCTATTGCTTTCATACCTCTAAAGTAGGGGAAATTTTAGATTAGTAAGCATTTTTGTTTTTAAAGAACTGCAGTTTTATTATTTTTAAATATAAACAGCCATAGTCAACTATCCTGTAGAAGAATTCTGAATTCTGTTCCTTTTTTTCTTTTTCTTTATATATATATATATATATAATTTTTTTTTTAAAGACACAGTTTCACCATGTTGGTCAGGCTGGTCTTGAACTCCCAACCTCAGATGATCCGCCCACCTTGGCCTCCAAAGTGCTTGGATTACAGGCGTGAGCCATCACACCTGGCCTAGAATTCTGTTCTTAATGAATAAAAACAATCACCAATAACTTATAAATAGCATACAACATGATATTAAGTAGTGATGACTTCTATCACACTGTAGAAATATAATAAATATCAATCGCAGTTAAAAACCGTATGGTCTCCTAAGTTGGCAAAAAAAATGTTATTTGAATGGGGGAAGGGGAATGAAGGCACTTTGAAAATCTCATTTAACTTACATTACACAAAAAATTCTACAACCCTTCAGTAAATTTCTATTTTTTAAGGCCAATTAAAGTGCTTTCACAGCATTATCCAATTACATTAAAACTACAGAAGACTTAATTCAGTACCTGTTTTCTAAAAGTATTTTATGGTGAGCTCCAAAATGGTTATTAGAATGATAAAGCTGACAACAAAAGTCATTTAGCTCACACCATAGGAGTAACCTGCTTCTCCCGAGAACTTCCAAAAAGCAATCTAGGAACCGCCTATTAAACTCTTGCTAGTTTTTTGGAGGATAAAGTGACCCTAGTGGAAAGCAATCCACAGAGCTTAGTCAGGCCTATCTTGTGTGGAGAGTAAACCCACACCCTGGGCCAGCACTTGGTACCTGACAAGGGCAGGACTGGCCAGAATGGGATGACAAACAGGGTGGACTAACAAGGGTCACAGGTGGCCTGAGGTGGGTAGGGACAGTGAAAGGGCAGGGGTTGGGGACAGAGTTTACATTATAAAAGGGAGTATGGACGTTCTAGGAACCCAGAGGACAAAATGGGATTTTAGTCTCTGGGGAAGCTGGGCAGCTGCAGAGAATTACCAGGGTGCAAGCTGTTAAGGACAAATAAGGTTTAGAAAAACAGGAAGAGTAGAGTCCAAGTTCTGAGACTGTCTAGAAAGGAGATAGGGAATGAGCGGGTCCTCGAAACAAAAGCAAACAGAGCCTGGGAGAGATGGAGAGACTGCCAGGCCCCTTCCACACTTGAGGCTCCTTGTGAAACAAAAATAAAGATGTTCTAAGACAGGGTTATAAAGTGAGGTTTTTTAAGAGACCAGTCCTCACTACATTGCCCAGGCTGGAGTGCAGTAATGTGATCATGGCTCACTAGAGCCTCGAACTCCTGGGCTCAAGGGATTCTCCCACCCCAGCCTCCTGAGTAGCTGGAACTACAAGGCCATGCCACCATACCTGGCTAAATTTTTATTTTTTGTAGAGAGAGTGTTGCCAGGCTGGTCTTGAACTCTTGGACTCAAGCAATCCTCCTACCTTGGCCTCCCAAAGTGCTGGGATTACAGGCATGAGCCATTGTGACCAGCCTAAAATGGGGTCATCTTAAGTGTTTACATTTAACCAGCTAATAGCTTTAACACAAACACACACATACAAGTACAATGTGGGGGCATACATGCAATATAATATAAATTATTTTATTTATACAGTGAAAGCAGATGAAGAGGGACAGTGGGGCCAACTGGCACAGGTGCAGGCATCTGGTGAGCATGGCGCTGGCTGAGAACTGAGCCATAGAGGCATCTTTTCTTACAATTCTGGCAATAGAGCACCCTAGTTAAGTGAGCTGGGAGGGGAATTTTACCTCCAGAAAATTATTTTCTGTGCTGCAATTCCATTCTGAGCTTTAACTATCATGTGTTCTAAAGTTGGAGCAGTAGGAGGCTAGAAATAAGAGGGAGGAGAATTTAAATAAAGGAAAAGCCACATGTGACTTTAGTGTTGTTTGTGATTTTACCCACAGGACTCTGTAAGATACCTCCATCCCAAAAACTGATGATGGAGGCTACTAAAACGGAACAGCTCATTAAAAGGTATGAAATATAGCTTGCTCTAGGGAAAACTTACAGTGTACTCTGTTACCAAAAAAAAGGATTCAGAGTATAAAAGCCATTCCTAGAGAAGCAGTATGGCAGGTTGGAAATAACTCTGCATTAGGTATCGGAAGAATACATTTTTAGTCCTAACTCTGCTGCCAATCACACATGTGGCCTTAGACAAGTCATCTGGGGACACCAGGTCTTTTCAGTGGAACACACAGCCTGGCCCCTGCGGGTGGCAAGCCTATCTTCACTTAGCCCCAGAAGTCCATTGTCTTCACTCTCTTCCTGCCTCTCAGGCTGCCCTTTCTCTGTATTTGCTGGTATCTCCTCTTCCTCATTCCTAAAATTTAATGAGCTCCACACTTAGTTCTCAGACCTCTTCTCACTTCTTTTTTTTTTTTTTAGAGACAGGGTTTCACCATGTTGGTCAGGCTGGTCTCGAACTCCCAAACTCAAGTGATCCGCCCACCTCGGCCTCCCAAAGTGCTGGAATTATAGGCGTGAGCCACTGCGCCCAGCCACTCTTCTCACTTCTATTTACACCCACTCCCAGGTGGCCTCATCCAGGCCTTAGGCTTTAAATATTATTATATACTCATGGCTCCCAAACTTGTGTCTCTAACCCAAGTCTTTCCCCAGCACTACTCCTAATCCCACTCCCTCTAGAGATCTCCACTTAGATATTTAATAGGTGTCTCAAATTTAATATGTCTAAAAATGAACTCTTGACCCCCTCCATCCCCCATCTGCCCTGTCAATAGGCTGATCTGAGACTTTTCCCCATCTCAGTTCATAGCTACTCATTCTAGTTGTTCAAAACCAAAGTCAGTCAAAAACCTTGGAATAATCATTTTCTCTTCTTTTTTTCTCACACCCCATATCAGCAAGTACTGTCAGCTCCTACTTGCCAAATAAATCCAGAATTCAGACACTTCTCACTACCCCTGCTACTATCACTCCAGACCAGACCACCAACATCTCTCATCAGGACACTTGCTGCCACCCCGTACCTGGTCTCCCTCCTTCCACTCTATTCTACAGTCTAGGCTTGTCACGGCATTAAGAATGAGCCACATCACATTGCCCTTCTACTCAAAAGCCTCCAGTTACTTCCTTTTTACTCCCAGAAGCCTCCCTACAGCCTCTGAGGCTCACAGCACACCCAACTATTTGTCTGCCCTCACCGCCTGCTGCTCTCCCATCTCATCTATGCTGCTTCAGGCACTCCAACCTCCTCCCTGTTCCTCAAACATACCAAGCATAAGCCCCTTAGAACCTTTACACTCACTCTTCTGTCTGCCTGGAATGTTCCACCAGACAGCTAAATATTCAAATATTGCCTCATAAGACAACTCTATATGTGACAGCAACCCACCCTGTCTGACCATTGCCTCTCCCCTTTACCCTCCATTCTATTTCTCAGAATGCCCATTATTACCACCTGATACATTAGGTATACTTAGTGGGGGTTTTCAATAATTTGTTCATTCCCCCCATCAGAATACAGGCTTTTTGACAGCAAGAACTTTATTTTGTTCATTATTGGATCTCCAGCACCTACAATGGTGCCTAGAATTCGATAGGCACTTAATGCTTATTTATTTATTTATTCGCTGGATGAATGAGTGATTGACACTGGGACATCATGAAAGTTTACTGACAGAAATAAGTAAATAAGTAAGTTAACTGATAGAAATAGGTATGAATAATGCCATCATATAAATATATAATATGCTCATATCTGTGGAAAGTTTAGTCCTTGTATACCAAGTATGGCCCTCTCAACTCATAATTCACACCAATAAAAAATATAGGTACAGATGATGCTTTCTGGTCATGTTCATTCATTCAACAGCTATTCTATTTGGACTAATCAGACATTATCCTCACATCAAATCCAAGAACCGAAAACATTACTTAAAGCTTCTCTTCCAACCGCCTCCTTTTGCCATGTCTAGTAAAATTAATTAGCTTCACAGATACCTTCTGTAGACAAACTCCTTAATTTTTTTCTTTCTAACATACAAAAACATTCCCAAACATGGTTTGATTCCAAAAAAATGTAACAAAATGGTGGGAGGAGGTCTGATAACTTGAGAAATGAAGGGCAGGGGTGATTAATGAAAAAACATCCATCTTTTTTTCCTTCTCAGAGATGTGATTAAAGACAGCAACAAAGACAAACTGGACTACATTGCCTACATGGATGGTATCGCTGCTTGCATAGGCGCAAAGCCCAGCATCCCACTTCTGTTCCTCAAGGATCCCAGACTAGCTTGGGAGGTTTTCTTTGGACCATGTACTCCTTACCAGTACCGCCTCATGGGCCCTGGAAAATGGGATGGAGCCAGAAATGCCATCCTGACCCAGTGGGACAGAACACTGAAACCTTTAAAAACTCGAATCGTGCCTGATTCCTCCAAGCCTGCTTCCATGTCACATTATTTAAAAACCTGGGGAGCACCTGTCCTACTTGCGTCTCTTCTACTTATCTGTAAATCTTCAGTTTTCTTGAAACTGGTGAGAGATAGACTACAGGACAGAATGTCCCCTTACCTAGTAAGTCTTTGGTGAGGATGAACCTGATTGGTTCTGAGGGCTGCACCAAGTTCTGCTAATTCTATCTCCAAATATCTTGTGCATTCCTCTTAAGCTCTCCATCACAACTGCTGTAAGCCAAATTCAGGTCTAGCCATCTCTTTTCTGAATTATTGCATTGTCTTCTTTATTTCAGCACCTTCTTTCTTGCCACCATTTCCAATGCATTTTTTAACCTGCTACCTCAGTGATTATTCTAAAATAATTATATGTGATCTTTAATTGTAGCTCCCATAATTCCCACGTCATGGGAGGTAATTGAATCATAGGAGCAGGTCTTCCCCCATACTGTTCTCATGGTAGTGAATAAATCTCATGAGATCTGATGGTTTTATAAATGAGAGTTCCCCTGCACAAGCTCTCTCATGTCTGCCACCATGTAAGATGTGTCTTTGTTCCTTCTTCGCCTTCCACCATGATTGTGAGGCCTCCCCAGTCATGTGGAATTGTGTGTCTGTTAAACCTCCTTTATAAATTACCCAGTCTCAAGTATGTCTAGCAGCATGAGAATAAACTAATACAATATGGTTTATTATTCTAAAGTAAATATATGATTTATAAATATACAGGAACCTCTGATTCTCATGAAGGTCCTGGTAGGAACAAAATGGCAATCAAATTAATTTGTAGAATTTTTTTTTTCTCTTAGAGACAGAATCTCACTCTGTCACCCAAACTGGAACACAGTGGTGCAATCATAGTTCACTGCAGGCTTGAAATCCTGGGCTCAAGCTATCCTCCAACCTCAAGCCCTCTGAGTAGCTGGGACCATGCCTGGCTAATTTTTTTTAAAGTTTTTTTGTAGAGATAGTGTCTTACTATTTTTTTTTTCTTTAAAAAAAAAAAAAAAATCGGGATAGGTCTCGCTATGTTGCCCAGGCTAGTTTCAAGCTCCTGAGCTCAGTCATTCTGCCTCAGCCTCCCAAAGTGCTGGACTTATAGGCATGGGTTCAAACAATCCTCCCTCCTTCACCTCCCAAGTTGCTGGGATTACAGACATGTGCCACCATGCCTGCCTGGAAATTTTTTTTTTTTTGAGATGGAGTTTTGCTCTTGTTACCCAGGCTGGAGTGCAATGGCACGATCTCAGCTTACTGCAACCTCCGCCTCCTGGGTTCGAGCAATTCTCCTGCCTCAGCCTCCTGAGTAGCTGGGACTACAGGCAAACACCACCATGCCCAGCTAATTTTTGTATTTTTAGTAGAGATGGGGTTTCACCTTGTTGACCAGGATGGTCTCGATCTCTTGACCTCGTGATCCACCCGCCTCGGCCTCTCAAAGTGCTGGGATTATAGGCGTGAGCCACTGCGCCCGGCCTGGAAATTTTAATATAGAGATTATTTTAAAAGATATGGGCAGAGTGAAGGAAGATCATAAAGATAATGAAACACTCCCAGACTTGTAACAATCAGGTAACTTTACTATCCATAGACCTAATGAGGCAAGAAGAGAAAGCAATTTCTAAAGAGAGAAAGCAAGCACTGCATAGAGGGCCACCTAACAAGAGCAATGACCTCAGCTGAATGACAAAGGCAGGTGCATGATGGCTACAAAAGTAGAGATCTGGGGAAATAAATTATCTAATTTTACTCTTCCCTTTCTGATTCCTCGATAGTGCTCCCCAATGTCCAAACTCAAATGAAAGTCAGAAGGCAAGGTTGCCAACAGATTTTATTCACAGAGGTCAGGCTCCTAGGGCACAGAGCAGAGCAAAGATGATGGAAAGAATATAAGGAGAGGCACACAAAAGGGATCCAGTTTAAACATGCCTCCCATATAAAATCCTTCATTTTCTATCTTGATTAGATATAATAGTCCTTGGCTGGGCATAGTGGCTCACGCCTGTAATCCTAGCACTTTGGGTATCTGAGGCAGGTGGATCACTTGAGGTCAGGAGTTCAAGACCAGCCTGACCAACATGGTGAAACTTCGTCTCTACTAAAATCAGACAGTCGTGGTAGTGTGTACCTGTAATCCCAGCTACTCAGGAGGCTGAGGCAGGAGAATCACTTGAATCCAGGAGACAGAGGTTGCAGTAAGCTGAGATCACGTAACTGCACTCCAGCCTGGGTGACAGAGCAAGACTTTGTTTCAAAAAAAAAAGAAGAGATAATCGTCCAAATTCCTTAGCCTAACATAAAGGGCCCTTCATGATCTGAGTCCCTTTGCCCAGGTCAGCAGAATGCCTCTTATTTCAAATCCTCCCATCAGCACTACCAAACTATGAATGGGGTCACAACTCCTCCCTTTGTCATTGGCACACAGATCTATGCCATGCCTGACTGGTGAGCTCCTATTTATCTTTCAAGAGAGCTCAATGCTCTTATTCTGTACAGCCGTCCCTGAATCCCCAGAGCAGAAATGCTCACCCCTGTGTACCAGCGGTACCTTGTGTATGTTCTGGTGCTGCTCTTTTCTTACTATAGTATTGTTTTATTTTTGTCTGTCACCTAACAAATGGTGAGTCCCTGAAAGGAATCGTATCCTGTTCATCTGAAACACTGCCTGATACAAAGCATTGCTAAAGAACTATTTGATGACTTGACGATGGCTTTGCCGGCTGGCACTCTTTATTTACCCTCTTCTACCTACATTCCTCTCTTCCGCCAACATGGTATGTTACCTCAGCCTTGCAAACAAAGAAGAACAGTCCACCAACAGCTAATGTTAAAAGACAATCCATGTGGCAATTAGAAGAAATAGAACGATGCAGTCTAGTACTTGCACAGAAGCCAAGTACACTGGTTAGGAGCACTAACTTGAGAATAAGAACTCAACTCATTAGCTATGAAGTCTTGGCCATGTGACTCAGCCTCTCTAAGACTTAGGGTCCTCATCTGGAAAACAGTGGTTATAATAGTACCTACCTTACTGTGAACATTAGTGAGAAAATGCAGGGTGTTTGGTCCAGGTAAGTTAACTATAACAGCTGCAGAATCGGAGGACGTATTCTAGTCTCTGAATTAAAGGACTTGAAACTACTGCCAAATCCCGTTCCTTGTCGTGTAATCCCGAGGCATGCCCTTTGCTCTCCCTGGATTCTCTGGCAGCACTTTCCAGTTCCAGTTGCTTTTGTTGTTGCTGCCACTGCTACTGCTGCTGTTGATAAACAGACATATTTAATGATACATTGGTCTTCACAGAGATGACTACAGAGACTTTTACTCTATAATCCAGTAGTATACAACCATGCATCACAGACCAATTAGCCAGACGTAAAATAAACTAGCTTCTTTTTTTTTTTTTTTTTTTGAGACAGAGTTTCGCTCTTGTTTCCCAGGCTGGAGTGCAATGGCATGATCTCGGCTCACCGCAACCTCCGCCTCCTGGGTTCAGGCAATTCTCCTGCCTCAGCCTCCCGAGTAGCTGGGACTACAGGCACGCACCACCATGCCCAGCTAATTTTTGTATTTTTAGTAGAGATGGGGTTTCACCTTGTTGACCAGGATGGTCTCGATCTCTTGACCTTGTGATCCACCCGCCTCGGCCTCCCAAAGTGCTGGGATTATAGGCGTGAACCACTGCGCCCAGCCCAACAAACTAGCTTTTTACCACAACAACCCTATAAACATTGCAATTATTCTCTCCAAAATGAACCTAATCTTACATGAAAACACCTACTGCAGGGGAACCAGAAACCTAGCTATGTGGCCAAAACTAAAAACTAAAGGAAAAAATTGCAATTCACTGGTCAGTTGGTAAAAGCAAAGAAAATGCAGTGCCCTTCACTGTATTGCTTTGATGTTACTTGTGTTCTTTTTGTCCCTCTTCTTCAGCCCACCCATGTTAGTTTGTGGTAGGTTTGAGTAAGCCATTCAGATCTTATTTACTTCTTTGGAGCTCACCATAGTGCTAATCTTCTTTTTCCCATCAGCAGCTCTTAACAGACACCAGTCTAAAGACTCAAAATCCACAGCAGAACCTTTCTTTAGAATGGGTTTGGTTCAACCATCAGACTTCTTCGAGGTGATATACATGCTACCTGGTGGCTGGCACTTCTGGAAGAGTCCGATCAGCTCCGTTAGGAACTGCTTGCTCTCCAGTAGCACCATCATGGTGACACAAGCTCAGCAATGTCTGCATAAGCCCCTAGCAGTTACAGCCTGAAGCTTCGCCTCTTGAGTCCCCATAGCCACGGCTGCTACCACCACCACCAGCACTCATGTTCCACCCGGATGGAAACTGCAGACTGTGAGGCAAACATTAGCAAAGTAGAAACTGTTCTCAAGTATTAGGAGTGAACCTCCTGGTATAACTAGTCGATGTGTCTAGGTTTTTGCTGACAACAACTTCCCAGTAGAAGCAATACCTAATTCTAAATCTTCAAAAACAACTAATGGTTTTGTTTAGTTGTCTTCTTAGAGAGGCTAAGTCACATGGCCAAGACTTCGTAGCTAACAAATTGAGTTCTCATTCTCAAGTTAGTGTTTTTAACCAGTGTACTTGGCTCTTGCGTGAATACTAGAGTGTATAGTTCTACTTCCTCTGATTGACCCATGGATTGTCATTTACTTATAACATTAGCTGTTGGTGGACTGTTCTTGTGTTTTTGGAAAGCTGAGGTAATTTATCATGTTGGCAGAAGACAAGAAACAAAAGACTTAACAGGAGCAATGTCGTATTTAAGCTATCTGTGTTCTTGAAGGAGAAAGCAGAACTGAGGGCCTAACAAAGGAGGCCCTGCTTTATTAGCTCATTATAACTTAAATCTATAAGGTTGCTGTTTTTAATTTGTATGGATTTTCAAGCCAGGCATGGTGGCTCACATCTGTAATCCCAGCACGTTGGGGGGCCAAATTTCTTGAGCTCAGAGTGAGCTCAGAGTTCGAGACCAGTCTTGGTAACATGATGAAACCCCGTCTGTACAAAAAATACACAAATTAACCAAGAGTGATGGGGCACACCTGTAGTCTCAGCTACTCAGAAAGCTGAAGTAAAAGGATGGCTTGAGCTCGGGAGCTGTAGGTTGCAGTGAGCTTTAATTGCACCACTGCACTCCAGCCTGGGTAACAGAGTGAGACCCTGTCTTAAAAAAAAAAAAAAATTGGATGATAAATCAAAGACTCACAGAAGTTAAGTAATTTGCCCTGGTACAAAAAGCAAGTAAGAGACGGAACATGAATCTGAACCCAAATATATGCAACCCTAAAGCCCAGGATGCCTCACTAGCTGCCTTGAGAGACAACTCCCCTATTTGCCTCTTACTACCTCAATTTGCTCGCATTGCAGCCCCAACCTGGATACCACCTCTTCCAGGAAGCCTTCTTCTCCCTTCCCACTCCTGCTCCCTCTGCACCACTGTACACCGTGAACAGCCTTCTAAATATTTTACTTATCACAGCTCATGACACAGTTCTCGAGGAAGAAAGGGTACAAGAAAAAGTCCACTGTACGTGAACCTATTTTAAATGAGAATCAAAACTTCTTAGTTAACAGTATGGGAAAAAATTAGCTTTGGTTAAAACTTCAACTTGAAAAATAAAACCAGAAATTAGGAAAATAGGTTTGTTTGCTTTACTGTTTATTTAACCAA